GCTCCAGTCACTTTCTGTCGGTCTCAGCTCAGTTGGTAAAAACTACGACCCATGTACGATTGCTGTAATGGCGTCTGTTTGAAAATCACTTGTGTATACAGACTTAGGCCTATATATTGCCCCCCCCCCTCATTAAATCTACACCCTCTGGCAATCCCTTGTATTAAAGTGTAGTTCCGGCCACTGTTTTAAGGTTTATTAGACAAGTACATATACACCAACCCAAGACAGTGGCTTACAAGCATTTGTCACAATGAAAGTTTGTTTTCATTCATAGGCTTCATTGTCTTTCCATCAATACCTGGTGGGCCGGTCTCGGCTCAAAATGCCCAGGCCGATTTTGTCCCAGTCCAGCCCTGCTGACACTGATGTTGATATTTAATAGTTGCATAAGTTGGTAAGTGGATACTGTTGGGTTTCCGGTATCTATCTTATATTGTATATTTATTTTTTTTGTAGACCCCTTTTTTTAAAAGAGTTTACAACCAAAATATGTACTAGATGCAACGAACTGAGAGCCTAGAGCCATGCTGGAGCTTGGTTGACAGTAGCTTTTGGCCACATCAGTGCTTGGGGAGTTAAATGCTAAATCAGCGTGCTAAACATTGTTCACAATCACAATCTAAAATATGCCGATGGTTTTTACCATGCTCATTTGATCTTAGGTTTGCAGTTAGCATGCAAATGCCTGCATCAGTTTTTGAAAGTCACTTCAAACACCAGAGTCCATTCATTTTATAATGTGTAACATTTTAAAGCAAATTACGTTGAAGTTGTCTTAACCAATATTCTATCTTTAATAGCCCGATTGAGTAAAATGAAAGAGAACATTTTCTGCTTTAACATATGCACTTAGATTATCTTATTTGTATTCAAGGAGAAATTGAGGAGGCTAAAAGCTTTGTATGGAGATGTAATCACGTGGTCAAATGAACACAACAAAAAACGCTTTAAGCATATATGCATATTTAGAGGTCAAAGAGATACTCCCTGAAGATGAAAGAAAGCAGGTGAAGGCGACAGCGACACTAAGACCACTATGTAGGTGCAGTGAGCCCTATATCAGAATACTAATGTTCAACAGTGGTTCCGAATTCTAATTGCGTCCTGTTAATCAAACAAGAAAAACTGACAACAGGCCGGGCGAACGCTCTAGGAGGACTGGGAAGAAATCTATTAACATACAATATGTTGTTTTGCTTGTTAAAATAATGGAAAGCTTTGGTATGGTGTACTTGGTAGTGCATTGTTCTCCTTGTTGTCTTTCTTTTAGTAATTGCAAAATGACCTGAACCCTTAATTTAATACTCATCTGTGAATTGGAGTAGTAGTTCATGCTAGAAGGTTTACTTAGAGAGCTTGATGTATATCTTGAAACTGAGACGCATCTCAAATATCGATCAATGGATGTTACGTTCACTTTATTATGTGCTATTGATAGCATCCAATCGGATGGACGCCACAGTGCAAGCTCTTACGTTATGTGTATGACCTAGAATTATAATAATCTTAATATAATTATAAGAAATCAGTCCTAAGTGGTCGTCACTTGTCGAGAAGAGAATACATAGCAACTCTCAACTGAAACTTAAAAAAATACACACACATAATGTTAAGAGTTCTTAGTTGCTGATGTCTATTGCCACTTGTATATTTCGATAGGACAGACCGAAGAACGCTAGAGAACTGGACACTAAACGAGGGGTGCAGTGAGATGGACGCGTATATGAGGCTGGTGATAGACAGAGATAGCAAGCACATGCATAATAAGAGACGCAGCTCGATTACAACGCTCATGTGGCTGGCATGCTAGCAAGACTATCAGCCATCATGTACAGTCGCCATGCTGCCAGCTGTACCGACTGAGCTAACACACAACACACAGCACACATATTTAATCTCAGATTTAGACCATTAAATCCCATAAATCTGTCAAAGCTTTCCTTCTGACTTTATCTTAAGGTGTCTCCACTTATCCTTTGAAGAAGTTTATTATACATTATGAGTAATAAACTGTTTGACTATCTTAAAAAACATCACTTCACCCCCCCCCTCTTCAAATTCCATCTTGAAAAGACATGCAGTCAACTGAAGATAAGATCCCTCCATTAAACAACTTTCGGCCTCTTGCAAATTCTGATCAATTACTAATTCCCTGTATTTTTTCAATCATGGTGCAACTTGTTGATTCTTGTTTAATGGCGTTAATCCAGTGTTAATTACAATGCAATCTACTGTGATTAACAAGGTATGTGAACTTTTAAAGAGAAAGAAAGTTAATGTTTTTTAAAAATAACACTGACTAAATATATTAAGCTCATAATAAAACCAACAGTGATTAATGATGTATTCTTGGTAGCAGTGTGGCACTGTGAGTTAGACTCACTATGAACTGTAACTGAGAGATTACCTCCAGAAATCACAGTTAAATACTTCATCCAGGATGTTCTGTTCTGAGTAAAGAATAGAGTGATGGTTTCTATTCAATGCAAAAACAAAGAGAGAGACATGAAGGGAAGTGTAT